AATTAATTGATCAGACATGTTAAATGGAAATAATGAAAACAAGTATTGATGCCTTGTTAATGCCTGAAAGATTGTAGTCCAATCTAGAAAACCTGAGAAGCTGAATAAACTACTATATAAGCTCTCTCTCTTAATATTGTGTTAACAGTCCACCCCCATGAATAAACAAAATTAGAGCTTAAGTACAGACTACAMAGGGGAATCAAAATATTACCAGCATTGAGGTGGCGRTCTCTCTGGAAGGACCATCAACACGAAGCAACGTGCTCCTATCACTGTAAAATTGGTGAACGAAATCAGGCTGYGTCTGAAGCACCTGATAATAATGCCCAACGAAGTACGTCCCAACCTAAAAACACCAAAACCCTAATAAACAACTGCATTTACATAYACATACCGATACACAGAGGTGGYCAYCGAAAACCCGTCAATCCAAAACAACAACAACAAAGAAGTTGCCTAAAGGAAAAAGAGAAATAKATTACCTCCTCTAGATTWTGGATTGACACTAATGGATTGAAAAACATGTCAAATATATATGCATCTCTAAATCCTATTGGAGTCAATATCATCTCAATCGATATCATCTCAAAATATTTAGGGATGAAATCAAATCTGTATTCTTCAAAATATGTTGGCGATGAAATCGAATTGGGTTTAGGGATATGATAGAGTTTTGATTTGAATAGGATGAAATCGTTTAGGGAGGGCGATGAAATTGTTTAGGGTTTATGAAATTGAATTGGGTTAGAGATGAAATCGAATCTGTATTCTTCAAAATCCGTTAGCGATGAAATCGTTTAGGGAGCGCGATGAAATCAAATTAGGTTTAGGGATAAGATAGAGTTTTGATTTGAACAGGTTTAGGGATGGCTTTAATAAGTTGTACCATTAGCAATAGAGGTTGTCTTTAAGTAATTTGACATTAATTGGTAGTACTATATGCTTAAAAGGTTGTCTATAAGAGTTTTAGCCAAATGCATTATAAGATAGTGTATATATATGTATATATATATATATATGTTCATATGGTTCTTATATTAACAAAAATAATTGAATTTTTTGATTTTGTAACTCTCAATTAATGATATGGGAGTTACATAAAAAAGAAAATTACCTAAATACCCTTTTCCCCTTTGTTCGCATATGTTTTTTGAAATTGTAAATTTAAAAAATTAATTTTTTATCATGATTAATCACAACCGTTTATTGTAARAATCAATGGCCAAGATTGGTTAACAAAGTTAACACAATAATCTYCGACCACCCCCCACCACTTGCAGCTTCCTCCAGCCACCCTATCCCCGTCTGCGACTTACTCTGACGAGATCCACGATCCATCTAAGGACAAGACCCACTACACCAATTTTTTTTGAATACAAAATCCTGGGGCATCATGGATCTGGTTCTCTTTTCCTAGTTTTGTTGTTAATCATCTTCAAGATAGAAAACCCACCAACTGACGACTACAAATCAGAGATTTAGTTCTCTCATGGTGGGCCTTGTCGATCTGGTTCTCCTTCCCTAGTTTCAAGGGACATGTTCATCAAGCATGGTGAAGGGAGAGTTTGGMAAGAGTTTCGTCGGAGTTTTGCCTGAATGGAGAACGTGGTTTGTGTGTGTGTATGTGTGCGTGTGTGTGTAATATTACATTCTTGGTTCCTGTAATATATAGATGTAAAATAAAAAATAAATAAAAAGACTAAAATACCCTCAAGTTTAACCGGGTTAACAAAATTATATTGATTTTGTTAGAGGGAGGGACTYAATAGGTGCGCAAATGCGTACCAGAGGTACCATYCTTGTATTTGTTTTGATTTTGGGACCACTATGGGTAGAAAGTGTAAACCACATAGACCAAATCCATAATTTACTCTAAAAATTAATAGTAGACAAAGTATTGGAACCCAAAATGAGGCTCTGTAATCAACTCCATTAATGTAGGGTTTATAGAGCGAGGTTCTTAATTATATGATAAGTTGATAATAATGTGATAATAATAATGTGATAAGAAAACAAAATACAAAAAGTGGGTTATTAATTATGATTAAGTCCCCGAGATGTTGTTATATCATTCAAAATGTGTGGTCCATTTGCCTGCTTCCAAGAGTGAACTCAAGATTAAGCAATTTTTCTGAAGCTAGAGATGACGGATTACTTCTTAACTTCATCTTTTTCGACAAGTATTGTAGGGTTACCATCTCAACCTCATYGGCCTGCAAATTACCCAACATGAATTAATTAATTCCTTCATAATTTTAATTATTTAATAATTTTATATATTAGTTGAGTTAATACAATCTATTTCTAGCTGTTTTTCACGTCAGTCGAACCTTAGTACTATCATTCATAATTGGAGATGGACAATGATGACTTGATGTATTTTCTCTCATCGGATAATATGAATCATTTGTCTCCAACGATGATGTCGAGGATCTCCTGCAACTAGCTCCAAGATATATAGCAAATACATCAAACCGTAATGTTGAATTATAGTAAATCAACGAAGGAACACGTTCAAAATAAAAAGATTAAATACAAGGRAAGTTCGGTTAAGGAGAAGTTCATATGTGAATCGGTTAAAAAATCGATTTTTCTATTTGAAGATGACTATRTGAACTGATGTTATAGATTATTCATATAGAGGAAAGTTCCGTTAGTAACCCAAAATTTTGTTATTGATTAGGAGCCTGCGAACCATACACAATGTGCTACGTGTACCTCATCACAATAAACATTAATCATCAAAKAACATATTCATAATGAATATATATGTGTTATTATTATTTTCACCTTCTCATCATATTTACTTTCTTATTTAGACCACCCACGATTATGCAACCAAAACGAATCTATATACATTTRTATCATATAAAAATGGATACTTGCATCCGTCTTTGTCAATGTCTTTTACATAGCCGTCCTTRTGGTTTCTTGCATCCCGTCTAAAAATTTAAGCCAACAAAGATCACCCGATGTCTTTTATATATAGGGTTATTTAAGTAAGAACTCASTAATTTATAATAACTATAAGATTTAATTTYAATCACAAATTAAAGAATAAGTTAGAAAGTTAATAATTTTGGTAATATTGACTTAAAATTTTAATTAAAGGACATTTTAGTGAAAGACAACCTTATTCCAGCGAACACYAWGTGAACACTATACATTATGATACCCTCTATAACATAATGAAAGACAATGAAAAATTGTAGGTGGATGGAGCATATGAACACAAAATATACACTGTGATACCCAAAAAACATCAAAACTGTTAAACAAGATACATAAAAATGATAYTMACTGTGATATCCAAAATACATAAAAGATGCAYACTGTGATACATTTTGTAAAGCAACGAGAATAACAAAATACGTACAAAATGTACACTATAATACCCTTTGTAAAACAACRAAAATAACCAAAAACATATAACATGCACACTATGATACCCTTTGTAATATAACAAAATTAATGAAAAACATGCAATATTTTGATGATYGATGGATGCATCATGGTTTTTTTTTAGGTAGGGGTGTGTTTGGGTTATGGAAGTCATATATTAATAACTAATATTAGGTAAAATTAGTTAAATATTTCCTTTTAAAAAATAATTAAATATTTTGATGAGTTGTAAGACACAAAATTATTAAATTACCCTCTTCAGTTTATTTAAAAAATATACTAAATGATCTCAAATAAGTGATTCATATTATATCTCACGGTCATTACAAATTATGAAATTATCATTTGATTGTACTCATATATATATATATATATATATAGAGAGAGAGAGAGAGAGAGAGAGAGGCACGTTCAAACCATGCAATTCTTAGAAACCGTGTAAACTAATTTCGACCAATAAAAAAATTCTTTTTTTTTTAAATTAAATTTAATCATTAAAGGTATATTTGTCATTTGCGTTGTTTCCTATTAAATATGATAGTTATTAATAAATATTAATTAAGGTAACATAATAAAGGAAATTTTATAAATGGTAACATTTAAATATTTAATTAAATTAAATCATTAAAGGTATATTTGTTATTTGTTTTGTTTCCTATTAAATATGATAGTTATTAATAAATATTAATTAAAGTAACATAATAAAGGAAATTTNATATAGAGAGAGAGAGAGAGAGAGAGAGAGGGCACGTTCAAATGAAAACCATGCAATTCTTAGAAACCATGTAAACTAATTTCGACCAATAGAAAAATTCTTTTTTTTTTAAATTAAATTTAATCATTAAAGGTATATTTGTTATTTGTTTTGTTTCCTATTAAATATGATAGTTATTAATAAATATTAATTAAAGTAACATAATAAAGGAAATTTTATAAATGGTAACATTTAAATATTTAATTAAATTATAAGATTAGAAATTGAATTTTGGTATACTGTGTCTAAGTTTATTATTGCTAATATTCTTGAAAATCGTAATTTATTAGGCTAAAAAATCCATGAAATCAGTAATAGAAGGAAAAAATTATTCATGAAACCGGTTTCATGCATGTTGAAATGGGTGCATTGAGTAAGTGAAAATAATTATGAAATGAGTGCATGAATAAATCGGTGCATGATGAAATGRGTGGATAATGACATGGATGCATGATGATATGGGTTCATCAAGAAAGTGAAACCGTTTCAGATTGTTAGGAAAAGTCTACGTAATCAGCCGAAAGTGATGCAATTTCATTATCTAATTGATGAAATTGTTTCATTTTGTTAAGAACATGTTGTGTTATAAGCAAATAGTGAAACCATTTCATAATTGTTAAAAACATGTTGTGTAATAAGCAAACGATTAAACCATTTCATAATTGCATAACGATAGTGAAACCATTTCATAATTGTTAAGAACATGTTGTGTAATAAGAAAACAGTGAAACCATTTCATAATTAGATTGAAATGGATCCATCTACCGAAAACATGAAAATGAGAAATGTCTCATCTAATAGGCAAACAGTGAAACAATTTCATAATAAGGTTGAAACGGATCCATCTTCTGAGAAAATGAAAATGACAGATGACTCCTCTAGAAAGACGTTTACTGTGTATCGTAAAAAATATGGTGAAATCATTTCATTAATTAAATGTAATAATTAAAAATATTGTTTCCTTATTCAAAATGAGGTTGATTAAGAAAACTAATGATTATACCCGATTTATTGATATAGACGGTTTACAATTTTGCCCTTTTTCCAATTAAAAAATATTTTTTTTCTATTTTTTTTTATTTTTAACTTCCTAATATAAACTAAACTAATCTTGACCATTGATAAAAAAAAAATGGATGAATGAGATTGGTTCATATGGTTTACACAAATGAGGACGATTTTCATTTGACCGCTCATCTTTCTCTCTCTCTCTCTCTCTCTCTCTCTCTATATATATATATATATATATATATATATATATAGGGGCCTAATCAAATGAGAACTGTTTTGTTTGTGGTAACCGTGAGATCTAATCTCAACCACAAATCAAAGGTTAATTTAGAAAATTAATAATTTTGTTAATTTTAACTTAAAATGTTAATTAAGGGCATTTTAGAGATTTTATAAATATCCTTTCTCATCTCTCCTCTTTCCTCTCTCCGGCGAACCTTATTTCGATGAACCTTATGTGAACACAAAATACACAGTGTGATACCTACAAACGATATTCACTGTGATACCCAGATATACATACAAGATGCACAATGTGATACATTTTGTAAAGCAATGAAAATAACGAAAATGTGAACTATGATACATTTCATAAAACAAAGAAAATACATTGTGATACACGTTAAACATTGTGAAAGTTTTCATTATGATACACTTTGATTCAAAAACGTTTTTAAAATATGATGTATATTRGGTAATTAATATACTATGTAATTAATTTTAATTACATATTTTCTTTAAAAAATATAATTAAATATTTGGATTAGTTGTCAAAAATAGAATTACTATATTACCCTTTTAGCTTATTTAAGAAATATTCTTAAATATCTCAAACGAGTGATTCATATTAGATCTCATGGTTACAACAAACTAATCAGCTCTCTCTTGAATGAGCTTATATATATATATATAAACACACACACACACACACACACACATATATATATATATATATAGAGAGAGAGAGAGAGAGAGAGATGAACGATCAAATGCAAACCATCCCGTTTTGTGCAAACCCTACAAACCAATCTCATATATTCATTTTCTTGATCAATGATCATGATTAAAATGTGTTATATTATGAAAGTAAAAATAAAATAAAATAAAAKGTTTAATATTTAATCAAGAAAAGACAAAATTGGCAAACCATTTTTAACTTCCAGCCATATTGTTCGTTCATTTTGGAAAATGTATCTCATTTTAAAAAATAATATGATTTCATTAATGAAATTGGTTTCATCAATAAAAACATTTTGGAAACTATATCTCATTTTTTTCATTAGTGAAATTGGTTTTATTGTTCGTCTGCATAATGAAATTTTAGCCAGATATGGTTCAGTCAATGGAACATTTTCCAAAAATCTGAATAACATGTTTTCGTTAATGAAATTTGTTTCATCATTGAGTGTCACTGTAATAAAATAGGTTTTATAGAACGCCATATTATGTCTGAGTGTTCTACTATATAAATWACTAAATAGGACTTCAATTTATATGACTAAAAAATTGTGTGTTATATATAAAATGTATTAWAATAAGTTGATATGATGCTTTTGGATGTGCTAAAAAGGTTTTTAGTACGATTTTAAAATAAATCATACTATTAAATTTTTTATATGATATTATTTAAAGAACATCTTTMGAAAATAAGTGTGCCCTAAAAATATGTGCTCATATATTACATTTTGCAGCTGTAACCTTTAAAAAACTTATAGAAGAATTTAATTCAAAAAACGTWGTATAAAACTTAAACCGCTCAAAATAAGYATTAARGGGCTGTTTGGCARTTGCTGAATRATTTRATGCAGAATGATTAAGAGGCTYTCATGATATAKTGCAAAATGAAATATAATTGTTTGGTAATTGTGTACAATGAAMTTAAGRYTCTTAATGGTTAAGAGAGATYCATGATACAAAATCATTCAGAKGGTTTTAGAACCATTAAGAGGTAGACTTTTTTTGCCAAACATGATTCACCTCTTAACGGTTCAGATTTTACCTCTTAATRRAACTATTAAGAGGTAAACAAACAACCCCACATCCTATTGTTTGGTCGTATCTGTTTGGTAAGTGATATTAAACAAGTTATTGTATGACATTTAGAAATCATAATTATCCTWTATTATATATTATATAGTAGTGTATGTAGAGATGAACACCCCAAAGGTCACCTTCTAATTTCCTCTTGGCTTTCAGCTTAACTTCAGTTCTTCTATATTCACATTATTATCACTCGCTATCTACATGATTCCATTAAGTTATATATTCTCTTGCACAATGTAATGATAGCAAGAGATTCATGTATARAAAACTGCAAAAAGGAACAAAAAACAGACCTTTGGGATTGTAGTGCAGTTGATGGTGATACTGATATGTCTCCCCTAACTTCAAGAAATGTCAATGGAGTCTTTGAATTTATTACTTGCATCTGATCTGCCAGCAATCCAGCTGCTGCAATTAAGACATGAACTCTGAATTCATACACAATTATGCATATATGTACACCACAGCATTAATTATATTTGGTTTTTATCAAGGACTGTAGAAATTATGATGCAAAGAAAGATCCAAATCCAGTACCTGCTACTTTGTCAGTGCCCTTCACTGTTCTGTACATCTGAAAGAATATATATCCCACAAAGAAAGAAAGAAAGAAAGAAAGAGATGTGAGTAATTGTTGAAAGAAATTAAGTCCACACTTGCTGTAAGATTATACACTTTTTTCTAGATGCCCTTTTGTCCTAACCCTTTGTACTCCATTCCCCACTTCCCCACCCACACCAAGTTTACCTCTGCATGTGTTTGTTTCTCTCACCATTTCTCTTATTCATGTGCAAGGGGAAAAGATGAGACTGATTGTGTGACCTTCCATGGATCTTTTTAATTACTTTTATGCTATCACATTCACTTATATATATATATATATATATAGAGAGAGAGAGAGAGAGAGAGAGAGAGAGAGAATAGACAGGCATTAACTGAAAAGAGGTGGGATTATTTGGAATACAGTGATAGGAACCTGCAAATGACTTTTCACATGGGCTAGAGTTAGATCTTTGACATTCATCAACTCCTGCACTGATTTTGGTGTTGCTCCTGCGACATCGACATCTTAACAAGTTAAACCTTGAACAAGACTCACTGTAATTGTTAACCAAGTAAAGTCTATTGATGTTATATAGAACGATTCAGACAAGTTTTTAAAAATGAGGAGAAAAAACAACACTTTTTTGAATCTATAACCTACTTTCATGGCCACCGAGGAGCTGAACGGCATGGATGAAATGGGCGTGAAGAGTGGAGGTCCATCTCATGCGAGGGGCTCTAGTGCTCCTTCTTGCAAAGTTAACCATCCTGGAYCTTCTCCTAAAATCATGGCCGTAGATTCGAGGTAGATGATAGCGATGATGTTGTGGTTGCGAAGGTACTGTATTTATATTGAGATGACGATGATGATTCAATGCCCCTATCTCAAGCCCCAAGCTCAGCTGAGGCTGATCAAACTGGTGACAGATGTGATCTGCTGCTGCCCACGACTTCTGGTGGTGGTGGAATTTGTTTTCTTGGCTTAGATCGCTGCCGGTGCTTGAGCTGGATCGTGGCCTCTTGGTGATACAACCAGTTACTGATGCAGCTGGAGGACTAATCTGTAAGGAAAGATCTGGGAAACATGTAGCAGCTCCACTAGTCATTAATGGAGGCGATTTTGAGCTCAGAAACATTTGGATGTGATGGAGAGTGACTTTTAGTGAAAAGGGCTGTAGGTGTTATTATATATATATATATATATATATACATATATATATCTCATGAATTACTCATGTTTTGCTAAATACACTTTTGTGTGTAGTAATTTTCTTCTCACACATCAACATTGGAATTTATTTTTTATATTTTCAATACATAATTTTACCTGATTTTGAGATAATAAAGCAAGGGATACATATGAAAATCCCTAATATCAAATGTTTRCATGGTATTAGAGAGAGAATGTAGGGTAGGACAGGTTTTGGCAGAGGAGGAAGAAAGCTAGGGTTTCCCTTTTTCTTGGTTATGGGGTGGGATATATGGAACAAGTAGTAGATGAAATTAAGAGTAGAACCACTTAAAAGGATGGTGATAGCACGTATATATGCTCTATTTCATTCACATGTATTTATTTCATCATATGAAAATTTTTTATGTGTATTTTTCGTTTCATTGGTTAAATCAGAAAAAGTTTTACATGCATAAAAGGGAATTTGTAGCATCAAGTTTTGTAACTATAAGACCGTCCCTAAACATATATGATTATTCAKTATAATATTTTCAAATAATGATTTTTAGCTAGGATTTTTTTTTCGTACGTAACAATTTGAACGCTATCAAATTAGAGATTTAGATTCTCATTGATATATCTAATATCCTCAATCGAGCTCGTTTRAACTTAATTAATGATACATAGAGTTTGTGGTCGAATATTGCTTTCGTGTTTTTTTTAGATTACGGTTGATTACGCGATCAGAGTTTGGCCGATGGGGGATGGTGGTGGTGGGGTGATGGTGGTGATGTTGACAAATAGTGGGTCGGTGATGATGATGATGATGGTTGACGACAGTGAGGTTTAGTGGTGTTTGGTAATGTGGGCTGCCATGTTTGTGGTAACAAAGGTGATAGATGATCTTCAAATAATGATAAAAGAATCAAGCTTTATAATATGTATTCACTACAAAAAAGGATTATCACCCTCGGGTTTACGTGTCGGTATCGATAAATGTTATTGACGACAACATGTAGATAGAAAAAGATATGTCGGTAAGAGTTTGATCGAAAAATTATATTGCAAATATTACCAATATGATAATAAAAAATAATTAACCACGTTAAAGCAAGAGGAGAAAAATACATACCTTTTAAGTGTGTGTGTATATATATATATATATATAGAGAGAGAGAGAGAGAGGGAGAGAGAGAGAGAGAGAGAGAGTGTGTGTGTGATAGTTATGATCTTTTGTTAATCAATTCATTTGTGTTAACTATACAACTTTCTAGACCAATAGGAATCAATGTACTACTATAGTTCATATATATTCATATGTAATTAATGATTGAGGACAAAATAGTAAGGTTAGGTTTTGTATTACTTTAATACATTTAAATGAGAGTTACATTACTCCTTGAATTTAGCCACTTGAAATTATCAATGTGTTGTAAGTTATATTATTTGTGATTGTTCATAAACGAATGTATTTTGAGAAATCACCAATAACACTTCAACAGTTAATATTCTTAATCGAGCGAGTTTGTTGTGTATCGTATAATATGGATGATCAATATGAACATAGTAGCAGTCAACATAAATGAGCGTGCACTCAATATTTAATAATGAACATTGTTCACATTGACAACTTGTTCATTGGTGAACATTGTTCACCAGTCACACATACGTACACATTTAGGTATGTGTTCACTAATGAACAGTTTCACATATGTTATAATTTYATTGGTGAACAATATTCATAARCTACTCATATATAACAATATCACCAATTCACACCATTTATAAGTTGCACATTACATATTAATAAATGAAAAAAATAATTAAAGTTTGATGTCATTTCAAAACGATGAGTAATTACTGAAAAAGTAATTAATGCTAAAAAAAWCTTCTACTTTCTTCCAAAATTACYTTTTGTTCATGATTGTTCATCTATGTTTATTAAGCATCATTTTTTTAATTTAGTACAAAAATGTCATGATGAATTTTATCTGTAGATTACAAAGATTAGAGGCTATGATTGGTTCACAAAGTCCACCCCTCTATCTTCCGCGTACGCATATGAGGAATTATCTGGTGCTTCATGGTCAAAACCGCAAATGTTGATTAAATGAAGGTTAAGATCACTTCTTTACTTCTCAAATGTTTACCATTTCTCAAATGAATCATTCCTTATATATATATATATATATATATATATATATATATGGCAATATCATATTTGAATGTTCCTCTAATTAAAATTTAGTTAAGTTTGTTTATCTCACATTGGCGGGAAGAAGGAAAATTGAAAGAATAAAGTGTGTGTGTGTATATATATATATATATATATATATATATATATATATGAAAGGAAGAGGTGAATTTTATGTTGCAAGTCATGTTGTTGGCTCAAATGAGTCAACCCTTTCAATATCAATATATACATTGTTTGTCCTGGAATATGATGACTTATACATGAAATGTTTGTAGAAGGGGGAAGGGATGAATACAAAGACAACATATTTTCATTTTTTTAATTTTTTGCTCTATAACTTGTATAAAAGCAAATAATTACATATTTGTTGCGAAAGTTGGGAAGGTAAGATCTGTGAGACTAAAMAATTTGATTATGACAAATTTATTGACTGAAAGAGAGGAAGGGAGAAGAGTTMTCTTCCAGATCCGATGAACAAATGTTGTTCTTAGGAGGATGACGCCGAATTTACTTCATAAAGACTCTTAATGATCGTTCTTTCAAAACGGATGAATTGCAATGAATGCCAAGGGTGGCCTTTTATAGCCATCATTGCATTTAATGCTATATGTCCAACTTTTCTGCATGTTTTCTTCTTGTTAGTTGATCCATGTATCATAGCACTCTTCATTTCAATCTTTGAATTTGATGTAGACACATTTTTATCTTACTYTATCCTTTTAGTATGCCGAGGGAACAATATAGCAAACAAAGTACTATTCATATGGTGCCTTTGTACTTGCTTAGACYGACATGATGTACATGTTCTTATACTAAGATTAGGAGGCAAGTTAGTTGGAAAGCCAAACTTGCTGGCGAAGTTTGTACTTCAAGATTCAGCTTGCCAGTAGTAGTATGTGTCATACTARCAGTTGACTTTTTACCTTGTACTGATATTCTTTCTGCTAGATAACAAACCAATCCACTTTGATAACGATCTTGACCTCACTTCAACCAGTCTTCGATTTTGCGGAAGGCATTATACTCTTTGATTAATACAAATAGTTACAAGACTTTACAAGTCAAAATTCTACCTTTGTCTATATCCGATAAATAAGCTTACAAATATGATTTTACCAGTCATAGACTATTTTATGAAGTATGCATCAGATGTAAATTAAAGTTGGTGTATTTTATCCGATAGATGACTCAATTCGATCAAGGTTTCTTGGAAGCTTTGAAGAATATAGAAAAATACATCTGATGAGGTGATACATCCCAATAAGTAGATTAGATTACATCCCTTGAGGTATATATCCGATGAGTCAAGTATATCGGATTTATGAAGCAAAGAGAACAAGAATGTTTCTCTTCTAAGTGTTTTGGTCGGATGTCTATTTGTATTATATACAAATCYGATGGTTGATACCAACATACATTATAAGGGAACAACCATGGGAGATGAGATAACATTATAAGATTTGAGTATTATCAAATTCTTGAACTGTGATGTTTGGTTATCCCACATTAGTAAGAAGATGATAGATTAAGATAAGAAGATTGGTATAAGAATGGAGAAGAGATGTATTTCTAGCAACACATACAATTGTGTTATTTTGACTGACCCACTTTTTGCAAAAAAAATCTTATTAAATAAAGTCATTTGAAAAATAAACAAATATATAAATCATCAGTATATTAATATATATTATAAAGAAATTTATATAAAA